GTTTTTCAGCTATTTCAGTACCTGAAATAAAATCGGTATTAGACAAAATGGAGCAAGGTATAGAATTTTATTATGTTTATTTATCGATTAGTTCCATGTATTCAAATATTTGTTGAGCTTTCATTTGTGGCCAAGCAGATGTTCAAGCCACATGCTGAAATATTAAGTGTCAGACTCATCTAAAAATACCGTAAAACCAAAATTTATTCAGACACCTTCAACATTTCTCACATTATCACAGTTTATTTGCTATAGTTTAGAAATGTGTAATAAAATATAGAGTGAAACTGTGTCAGAACAAATTCATCTTGATAATGTCAGATAAGTTGATAGAAAGGTATGTAACAAAACACGCTCAGGTCAAAGTGTGAAATCAAATTTTTGGTGCCACATTTTTTTATCAGGTAGTCCACTGTATGAAGAATGTTTTGGAATAATATGTCACAGTTTACTTTATTTTGCTATTCTCACTTACATAAATGAACTATAGTGTCCTGCACCCACTAGTAAAAAAAATATATAAAATATATAAAATTATATCTAGTGTCTGAATAATTTTTGGTTTGACTGTATGTATTAAAAAGGTCTCTTCAAAACTGTTAACATCCCATGGATAAACCTGTAGCACTTGCTAAAAATATATCACCAGCCCTGATGTGATATTGTTTTGTATGATTGCTTCTGGTTGTGGGGAAACACCTGCTATTCACTGTAAAAATGAAAAGATCAATCCGGAGGAAACGCCTCAAGAACCACTCAGGAGCCTGTCGGTGAAGGTCAGTGAGGAACTTGCAAGGTTTCTTGACAAACTCTTTCAAAAGGAATGAACAACTTGAATTATTTTATTCAATGCATTAATGCAATTCATGGAAGCACAAAAAAAATGCAATACATGTTACATAGAGTTAACTAAAAACCAGGTGGCTCAAATCTACTGTCGGTTATTAAACGTCTTTCCCCTATTACAATTCAATGTATATTGCAATCAATGTAAAGTAATAATAATAGTTCGTCATGCAATAGAAGACGAACAATGAAAAAGAAGAAGCAGTTGGTTGAAAATAAGGGGAGGTGTTAGATTTAACACCAAAACACCATGTCAAAATACTTGAAAAATGTCTGTAAGTACAGATTAAAAATGCTATTTTCCATCAACACGCATCTGTCACAGGTAGTGCTAAGCATGTTTGATGAAGAAGGAGAATCCACAAAGAATTTTAATATATCCACAAGAAGAAACACACAGGAATAAACTTATAAGCACAGGAATACATTTTAAAATTTAATTTATTTCTGTGATCAAAGCTGAATTTTCAGCATCATAACTCCAGACTTCAGTGTCACATGATCTTCAGAAATCATTCTAATATGCTGATTTGCTGCTCAAGAAGCTGTTTTGTAACATTATACACTATACCATTCAAAAGCTTGAAATGTTTTTTGAGCAGCAAAATCAGAATATTAGAATGATTTCTGAAGGATCATGTGACTGGAGTAATGATGCTAAAGATTCCGCTTTGAATTCACAGGAATAAATTAAATATTAAAATATATTCAAATAGAAATGTTATTTTAAATAGTAAAAATGTTTCAAAATGTTGCTGTTTTTGCTGTACTTTGGATCAAATAAATGTAGGCTTGGTGAGCAGAAGAGATTTCTTAAAAAAACATTACAAATCTTACTGTTCAAAAACTGTTGACTGGTAGTGTGTGTATATAAGCAAGACATTTTGCAGTGTGCTTATGTTTGTTTAATTTGTCAATGTATTTCCCTGTCCCCGTCGTCTATAGACGAATGTTACCAGGAGCTCTTGAACCCTGTGGATGCTGACCCTTCTGCCCTTGAGCAGTCCTCCAGAACAAAGCTGACCGGTAAACTTTTCCTAAAGTGTGCTAGAATTTATATAGAGAATATCTGGGGCTAGTTGTCACACTTACTGCAGTGAATATTTCTCAGGGGTGGTTCATTTTTGTTTTTAAGTTTATTTCTGACAGACAAAAGAAGTTATTCATCACATTTGTTCATCACTTCAAGGGTAGATAACATCTGAACTGATGCAATGAAAACAAGGCTGTGATGGAAATATGAGTTTCGATGAAATCGAGTTTTTTTGTTAGAGAAATAAATATTTGTACTATTTTATGTTCACAAAGGTAAACAATAGTAATATGTCCCCCTCTTTTTGCAGACCTTTTTGGAGGCCAAAGGCAGTTTGGCCAAACTGCTGATAAGCACAAAAAAACAGCCAGGTCAGGTCACCTTTATTTACAGTATATAGCACTTTATACAATACAGATTGTGTAAAAGCAGCTTTACAGTGTTAAACAGAAAAGGCTTGTAAATGTTGCAAACAAAATTAAATTCTGCTATAATAATAATATGTTTTATTTATATAGCACCTTTCAGCATCTTTAACACTAATGAAACGGCCTAGCTTGGCAATGCGACCTAATTGAAAGAATGCGGATTTGGTGACAGAGTTAATATGAGCTTGAAAAGAGAGAGATGAATCGAAAATAACACCTAGATTTTTAACATTACAAGATGATCTAATAGGAGTACCAGCTATCTCACAAGAAAAGTAATTAGGAATGCTGCTACTGAGTGACAGGGTTCCAACAATAATGATCTTGGTTTTAGCCATGCTTTGTTTTTAAAAATTAGAGGTTATCCAATCTTTTATTTCATGTACGCAAGCAGAAATGGTGTCAATTGGAGTGGATAGAGCAGGCCTAGAGATAGAGTAGAATGTCATCAGCATGTAAATGGTAATTAAAGCCATATCGGTACAAGATTTGATGCAGGGGGAGTATGTAAATAATGAATAATAGCGGGCCAAGGACAGATCCCTGGGGGACACCTTGCTTCAAATGGACAGTAGGGGATTGAAAATCCTGCACTGAGATGTAGAACTGTCTGTCAGAGAAGAAAACCAGGAAAGAACAGCACCAGAAACACCCACATCAGAGAAATAAGTAAATTATGGGAAACAGTATCAAAGGCAGAGCTAAGGTCAAGTAGCAGAAGTATAGAGAGAGAACCAGAGTCACCAGAGAGTAGTAAATCATTCAGTACCTTTACAAGTGCAGTTCAATGCTATGCAATGGACGAAAGCCAGATTGAAAGGCATCAAAGAGATTATTTTCAACTAGAAAAGACTGAAGCTGGGAGGCAACAGTACAGTATTTTCCAATAATTTAGCAATGAACGATAAATTTGAAATTGGACGATAATTAGATAAAACTGAGGGATTGAGGTTGAGTTTTTTGAGAACTGGGGTGAATGCAGCAGTTTTAAGTGGCACAGGGAATGATGAACAGAGGTAAGAGATGCATTGATGAAATGAGAAATAGGTGCAGAGATGACAGAGTGGCACAGTTTTAGAAGAGGAGTAGGTACAGGATCAAGACGACAGGTTGACGAATTAGCTTGCAAAATTAAATCAGAAACAGAAGAGGGATTGGCAGAGAAAAGTCCGACAGGAACTGACCAGAGAGATTGGGCCTAAAGCTAAACTTCGTAGCCTCATTAGAGAAACACTGGTGGAGGGCATCTGTCTTTTCCAATAAATACTTCATGAAGGAAAGCAAAATTGATCTGAAGTTAAACCATCATGAGATGGAGGTTTGGTAAGCTTATTTATTGTGTTAAATAATACTTTTGGCCTATTACATGATTTGTTGGTCATACAATGATTGGTCATACAATCTTTTACATTTTTAACACACTGTGTTAGCTTAGATAATTTAGAAGTTTCATCTGGTCTTGTTGAAATATAGATCCATCTACCTATCTCAGCGAGGCAGGGAAACATCATGGACTGATGGCCAGTCCATCACAGTCTCTAATATGACACTGTGATCATATAAGAGACACTTATATCATATTAGAGACACTGTGATGGACTGGTGTGTATCCGTGGTGTTTCTTCCTATACTACACAATACATTTTAGCAGCTGCAACTGAGATTGCAACTTTACACAAAAGATTCCATAAAAATTCAAAATACTGTTTTTTTTTCTAAGTTTAAAAAACGATAATCTGAAGATCCTGTGATGAAACCTTTTTAATCTGCAAAGAACCATGTAGTTAAGAACCCTATACAGCCAGGAGTTATTGATAAGACCCTAAGAACCATTTACTGAGCTGAAGAACTGAAGAGTTTTAGAAAACTAATTTTGAAGAGTGTATTTGTTTCATTGATCTTTGTAGATGCATTGCTCAGAGGATCTGGGGCAGGAATTATAACTTCCTCCACAACATGACAGGTGAGAACAGACCCGTTTGGTAACTGGAAATTCATTGTGAATAATAAATCGACTCACTTCAAGCTATGGTTGAGTAGATGAATCAGTGCCAGCCGCTCTTTTGCAAAAAGAGACGAGAGATTTAATAGACGCCGGACTGTTGATCAACTCACCCTACTTCTCAGTGCTGAGAAAAGAACGAAACATTGACCTCATCATTGCTCTGGATTACAGCGATGGAGATCCTTTCACGGTATATGCTTATTTAATTCAATATAATGCACACATTGTCTCAAAAAAGTTAATTTAAAAGAATACATCCCCTAGAAATGTAAATTCCATCACCATTTACTCACCCTCATGTTGTTCTGATCCCATATATAAACTCTTCTTTCTTCTGTGGAACACAAATGGAATTTTTTTAAATAATGATGACATTCATAGTTGCCACCATAACCTAAAATATACAGAACTTCAAAAACACTGACAGATAATTACAAATGCTGTGCATCATCTGAAAAGATAAAAACAAGAAAGAAAAACATTTCAAAAGATTTTATTTTGAGTTCTGTAATATCTGGATAGAGCCTCCATCCATCAAGTTTCCCATTCATCTCAGTGGTGGTTTCTTGCCTGGTGCATGATGAAATATAGAGTAAAGGGGGAGATTTAAGTGAATACCGTCATTCTCAACAAAAATGTCTGTCTAAGCCTTTTAATTAAGTGCTACCGCTCTATTTTTCCATTGCAGACAGTGAGAGAAGCTGCTAAAACGTGCAAGAAACTAAAGATCCCTTTCCCTGAAGTCAACATTCCCAGTGATGAAGGGAAGAAACCAAAGGACTTCTATGTGTTCAAAGGCCAAAACGCTCCAACCGTGATTCACATCCCTCTGTTTAATGTGGTCAACTGTGGAGGCAAGTTAACATCTTCCAGTCATCCTGAATAATGCAGAAATGCTGAATAATGCTGCAGATTTCCAGATTCTCTGAAGATTCTTCAGATCATATTTAATGTCTGATAAACTGTTAACATGCATGTTACATTCTGACTAGGTGTGGTAATGAGAAAAAGCCTAAAATACCTTATAACCTGCATATATTCACCGGACACATCAGTTTTTGATATTGTAGTCATGGTTTGATTTGTACATTAAATGAATGCGTGCTCCCTTTATCTGTTGATTTGTTGAGTGACAGAGGCGCGTGCTCTTTCAGTGAAGTTCAAATTAGACTCGCTTTTGGGAAAGACAAAGAATTTTGTGTAATAGAAATATGCGGCTTGAATTCATGTTGAGGTGTGTTGAACGATTACTAAACAGTTTAATCTAAATAATTGCGTGCTCCATTGATCTTTTGCTTGTTTGATTGTGCGACATGGATGCGCGTGCTTGGTCCGGACCCTTAAAGTAAAGTTTACTTTTTCTGCGCCATTATTTAAAGCCCAAAAAAAGTATGTCTTAACCCATATCACACCATTTGCTAAGCCACATTATTAGGGGTTCAAGCACCTAAGGTGCCGGAAGTTCCCTGAACTCTATTGTACACTGTAAAAAATGACCGTGAATTTAGAAAGACTGTAAAAATGCTACAGTAAAAACCTGTTAAATGGTTAACGGTAAGTTCCCCTACTATATACGGTGAAAAACTGTATAGGACATTACATGTAATTTTACGGTAGTATACCGTTTTTGGAAGTGAAAAAGACCGTATAATTTACAGTGAATAACCGTAAATTGACATTCCCACAATTCCCTGCGTTACATTTCAAATTTGATGTTTTTTTTGTTGAAATAACTATGTTTCTTCTTATTTTTTTCTTATCAGTTTTGTATATTAGGGTTGTGTGTTACACCTAATGTTGTTAAATGAATGTTTATTGCATTATTTCAGTTTCATGTGTGTTACCATGATGGTGTTTAGTGTTTGTGTTTCTATATATGTTATTATTTAAAAGCTGCTTGTGATGGGCTTTGGTTCATCATGTGACTTTCTCATCACCACATGCATTTGGTGGTTATCAGTGTATTACAAAGGTACAAAACAGATTTCAGTACTTCAATAGGTTGGTATATTAACAGTATATCAGTTAATGAAATTACGGTATTTAACTGTAAATTAACCACAGCTGCCGGTTTTTTACCGTAAATTTTACGGAATTTTTTTTACAGTGCATACTTGAAATAGAATGTCAATTTTTATAGATTTAATCCATCCTTGCTAATTAAAAGTATTTATTTCCTTCCAAAAAAAAATCTATGACATAAGCCTATCTACAGTAGATGCGTTACAGTCCAACTTAATATGCTCACTGCGTATAGTATCTGCTCCTCTGTCAAAAATGAGAGCAGTATGTTCTTCTCTGAAGGTGCATGGCCTCCTTATACCAAGAACCAGACTGGTCCACCAAACTAGAGACCGTGAAAGACAATATCATCAAGAGACTCAGCGGACCAGGAGTCAGCTGGGACGACAAATCGGCCAAATTGAAGAAATATTACATGAAAGACTTCTTCAGCTTGACTGACCTCTGGGCAGTGCTGTTTGTCACATCATATGTGAAAGAGGTCTGTAACTATTCATAACACAACCCACCTTGACTTGTTGAGAGTAGAAGTGGTCATGTTCAGTTTTAAAGTGCATGTGTTTTTAGGTCGACCTATGGTGGATTTTATGGATAACGATAACTAGGTATTATTAGATACATATCATATATATATATATTTTTTTTTTAATGATTTATATTATGTCTATTATTATTATATATTATATATCACACATATTTCTTAAATATATACATATATGTGTGTGTATTTCTATATACATATAAATATACACAGTACACACAGATATAGCCTAATATGTAAACACAAACATTTATTCTGGATGCGATTAATCATGATTAATAGATTTGGCAGTCCTGTATGCAGCTGTTGCATGCTGATAATATTAATTGCAATGAACAGTTTTAAATTTTAAAGAATTTTAAAATTCTAACATTGAAATGCAAAACTATTTTTAAAATGTCGAGAAATTGAGAAATTTTTAAATTATTAGAAGTCAGAGCAATCACAGCTTTTATTTACTCACTGCTTTAATAACACTAGTAGTGACAGTGTTAAAAATAGACCATCGTTCATGAGAACGAATATGAAATCTACTCTCAGAAAGAGCCACTTCTCTTAATGAAGTAAAGTTTCTGGTGGAACCTTCTGCAGAACCTCAAACATCCTGTTGTAAACTCAAACTTCAGCACATTATTTCAAACATCTCAAAGCCTTTTCTTTAGGATGGTATCAGTGGAGGAACCGCTGACTGTCTTCATTTTGTACATTCCTCAGAGAAGCGCCCTTTCTAAAAGGTTCTGCCAGTGGAGCGATATGAAGAACCCCAAATGTTGCCTCACGTGCCTTTAAATTTTTACATTTACAGCTTGTTTTTAAAACTTAAATACTCAGGACATGTTGAGCAAATGCCATCAATCAAACTTTTTCGTGATCGCCCTGGTAGTCTCCACTACAACATAACACTACAATAAAAAATATGTTCTCTTCAGATCGATGAACAAACACTCACAGATCAGCGGGACCTGCACAATGAAGACCCGTATCCCATTTACGCAGTGATCGACAAGCAATGCAAAAGGCGTGAGGAAGGAGGTCTGTGTTTTTGTCTGAAAGAGACTCTTAATGTGTTTGTGTCAGCTGTTGTATGGAGGTGTTTTCTGTCTGCAGACCCCTGGTTTGAGATCAGTCCACATGAAGCAGGTTATTCCCTCTCTGGAGCGTTTGTGGAAACCTGCAACTTTGGCAGCCAGTTTGACAACGGCTCAAAGAAAAAACACCAGCCTGAAATGGACATGCTGTACCTGCAAGGTAACAAACTCTGTTGCAGGACTGCTGTAGCATGCAGAGAGAGCGCAGCCAAAGAAGAGTAGGTTAATAGAGAAACAGACAAACATCCACAAAAACACAAACACAAGTCCAAGGGTGCAAACAGCTCCAAGTAAAATAATTATGACAGGGCATGAATGCAACACATACTTTATATCCACAGCGGCTAACAAGCTTAACAAGGTAACAAGCGGGCATGTTTAATTGTCTAGGGAACTCACAAGGGTAACTAACAGACACAGTAGGAACAGCGAGACACTTCAACAAAAGTCCAAACACCAACACACAGGGAATATATAACAACTGCTTTATTTATTATTCGTAATACCAACTTTCAGTGTATATTGTACGCTGTACATTGAACTGACCTAAATTAGATAATAGAACAAAACACATGAATATTCTCTGTGACATCTAGCTAATTGTCAAGTAAAAACTGAAATGTAGCCAAGGGAATGATTGGAAATGTTCAAAAATAATTTTTTCAACTTAAAACTTTATTTTGCATTGACATTGTAGAAACTCACTTAATTTGATTTCATTTCATTTATTTGTATAGCACAAATAAACACACCAGGAGCTGACCACTGTGCTTTACAGAGTATAAGATAAAGCGAGAGAGAGAAAGCAGGAACACATAATGAAATAAAAACATAATTAAGATTTGTTAAATGCCTAGGCAAGAAGATAAAACGTTAACTTCGATTTAAACTCATGTACAGAGGACAGGGATCTCAGAGATAAGGGGAGGCTATTCCAGAGCACTGACAATCATTAAAACAGGAGTAATATGTTCACATTTGCGCACTCTATTTCATTATGACACACAGAAATGAATACTTCAGTACAGACACATCTCTGCCATGAGCTCTGTTCAGGAAGCTGAGGGACAAAATTAGTTTCATTTATTTGAAACGTTGTGTTTGTTTCATCTTGTGTTTTCTGCAGCTATGTGCAGCAGTGCTTTAGCTGATGGAGAGGCGACCTGGAAATGGATAAAAGGTACAACTTGAATTGTAAAACTTGAAGATTTAATTCTGCTTAAAAGTCATTTCGTTTTCATTTGATTTTGTTTTTCAGCTATTTCAGTACCTGAAATAAAATCGGTATTAGACAAAATGGAGCAAGGTATAGAATTTTATTATGTTTATTTATCGATTAGTTCCATGTATTCAAATATTTGTTGAGCTTTCATTTGTGGCCAAGCAGATGTTCAAGCCACATGCTGAAATATTAAGTGTCAGACTCATCTAAAAATACCGTAAAACCAAAATTTATTCAGACACCTTCAACATTTCTCACATTATCACAGTTTATTTGCTATAGTTTAGAAATGTGTAATAAAATATAGAGTGAAACTGTGTCAGAACAAATTCATCTTGATAATGTCAGATAAGTTGATAGAAAGGTATGTAACAAAACACGCTCAGGTCAAAGTGTGAAATCAAATTTTTGGTGCCACATTTTTTTATCAGGTAGTCCACTGTATGAAGAATGTTTTGGAATAATATGTCACAGTTTACTTTATTTTGCTATTCTCACTTACATAAATGAACTATAGTGTCCTGCACCCACTAGTAAAAAAAATATATAAAATATATAAAATTATATCTAGTGTCTGAATAATTTTTGGTTTGACTGTATGTATTAAAAAGGTCTCTTCAAAACTGTTAACATCCCATGGATAAACCTGTAGCACTTGCTAAAAATATATCACCAGCCCTGATGTGATATTGTTTTGTATGATTGCTTCTGGTTGTGGGGAAACACCTGCTATTCACTGTAAAAATGAAAAGATCAATCCGGAGGAAACGCCTCAAGAACCACTCAGGAGCCTGTCGGTGAAGGTCAGTGAGGAACTTGCAAGGTTTCTTGACAAACTCTTTCAAAAGGAATGAACAACTTGAATTATTTTATTCAATGCATTAATGCAATTCATGGAAGCACAAAAAAAATGCAATACATGTTACATAGAGTTAACTAAAAACCAGGTGGCTCAAATCTACTGTCGGTTATTAAACGTCTTTCCCCTATTACAATTCAATGTATATTGCAATCAATGTAAAGTAATAATAATAGTTCGTCATGCAATAGAAGACGAACAATGAAAAAGAAGAAGCAGTTGGTTGAAAATAAGGGGAGGTGTTAGATTTAACACCAAAACACCATGTCAAAATACTTGAAAAATGTCTGTAAGTACAGATTAAAAATGCTATTTTCCATCAACACGCATCTGTCACAGGTAGTGCTAAGCATGTTTGATGAAGAAGGAGAATCCACAAAGAATTTTAATATATCCACAAGAAGAAACACACAGGAATAAACTTATAAGCACAGGAATACATTTTAAAATTTAATTTATTTCTGTGATCAAAGCTGAATTTTCAGCATCATAACTCCAGACTTCAGTGTCACATGATCTTCAGAAATCATTCTAATATGCTGATTTGCTGCTCAAGAAGCTGTTTTGTAACATTATACACTATACCATTCAAAAGCTTGAAATGTTTTTTGAGCAGCAAAATCAGAATATTAGAATGATTTCTGAAGGATCATGTGACTGGAGTAATGATGCTAAAGATTCCGCTTTGAATTCACAGGAATAAATTAAATATTAAAATATATTCAAATAGAAATGTTATTTTAAATAGTAAAAATGTTTCAAAATGTTGCTGTTTTTGCTGTACTTTGGATCAAATAAATGTAGGCTTGGTGAGCAGAAGAGATTTCTTAAAAAAACATTACAAATCTTACTGTTCAAAAACTGTTGACTGGTAGTGTGTGTATATAAGCAAGACATTTTGCAGTGTGCTTATGTTTGTTTAATTTGTCAATGTATTTCCCTGTCCCCGTCGTCTATAGACGAATGTTACCAGGAGCTCTTGAACCCTGTGGATGCTGACCCTTCTGCCCTTGAGCAGTCCTCCAGAACAAAGCTGACCGGTAAACTTTTCCTAAAGTGTGCTAGAATTTATATAGAGAATATCTGGGGCTAGTTGTCACACTTACTGCAGTGAATATTTCTCAGGGGTGGTTCATTTTTGTTTTTAAGTTTATTTCTGACAGACAAAAGAAGTTATTCATCACATTTGTTCATCACTTCAAGGGTAGATAACATCTGAACTGATGCAATGAAAACAAGGCTGTGATGGAAATATGAGTTTCGATGAAATCGAGTTTTTTTGTTAGAGAAATAAATATTTGTACTATTTTATGTTCACAAAGGTAAACAATAGTAATATGTCCCCCTCTTTTTGCAGACCTTTTTGGAGGCCAAAGGCAGTTTGGCCAAACTGCTGATAAGCACAAAAAAACAGCCAGGTCAGGTCACCTTTATTTACAGTATATAGCACTTTATACAATACAGATTGTGTAAAAGCAGCTTTACAGTGTTAAACAGAAAAGGCTTGTAAATGTTGCAAACAAAATTAAATTCTGCTATAATAATAATATGTTTTATTTATATAGCACCTTTCAGCATCTTTAACACTAATGAAACGGCCTAGCTTGGCAATGCGACCTAATTGAAAGAATGCGGATTTGGTGACAGAGTTAATATGAGCTTGAAAAGAGAGAGATGAATCGAAAATAACACCTAGATTTTTAACATTACAAGATGATCTAATAGGAGTACCAGCTATCTCACAAGAAAAGTAATTAGGAATGCTGCTACTGAGTGACAGGGTTCCAACAATAATGATCTTGGTTTTAGCCATGCTTTGTTTTTAAAAATTAGAGGTTATCCAATCTTTTATTTCATGTACGCAAGCAGAAATGGTGTCAATTGGAGTGGATAGAGCAGGCCTAGAGATAGAGTAGAATGTCATCAGCATGTAAATGGTAATTAAAGCCATATCGGTACAAGATTTGATGCAGGGGGAGTATGTAAATAATGAATAATAGCGGGCCAAGGACAGATCCCTGGGGGACACCTTGCTTCAAATGGACAGTAGGGGATTGAAAATCCTGCACTGAGATGTAGAACTGTCTGTCAGAGAAGAAAACCAGGAAAGAACAGCACCAGAAACACCCACATCAGAGAAATAAGTAAATTATGGGAAACAGTATCAAAGGCAGAGCTAAGGTCAAGTAGCAGAAGTATAGAGAGAGAACCAGAGTCACCAGAGAGTAGTAAATCATTCAGTACCTTTACAAGTGCAGTTCAATGCTATGCAATGGACGAAAGCCAGATTGAAAGGCATCAAAGAGATTATTTTCAACTAGAAAAGACTGAAGCTGGGAGGCAACAGTACAGTATTTTCCAATAATTTAGCAATGAACGATAAATTTGAAATTGGACGATAATTAGATAAAACTGAGGGATTGAGGTTGAGTTTTTTGAGAACTGGGGTGAATGCAGCAGTTTTAAGTGGCACAGGGAATGATGAACAGAGGTAAGAGATGCATTGATGAAATGAGAAATAGGTGCAGAGATGACAGAGTGGCACAGTTTTAGAAGAGGAGTAGGTACAGGATCAAGACGACAGGTTGACGAATTAGCTTGCAAAATTAAATCAGAAACAGAAGAGGGATTGGCAGAGAAAAGTCCGACAGGAACTGACCAGAGAGATTGGGCCTAAAGCTAAACTTCGTAGCCTCATTAGAGAAACACTGGTGGAGGGCATCTGTCTTTTCCAATAAATACTTCATGAAGGAAAGCAAAATTGATCTGAAGTTAAACCATCATGAGATGGAGGTTTGGTAAGCTTATTTATTGTGTTAAATAATACTTTTGGCCTATTACATGATTTGTTGGTCATACAATGATTGGTCATACAATCTTTTACATTTTTAACACACTGTGTTAGCTTAGATAATTTAGAAGTTTCATCTGGTCTTGTTGAAATATAGATCCATCTACCTATCTCAGCGAGGCAGGGAAACATCATGGACTGATGGCCAGTCCATCACAGTCTCTAATATGACACTGTGATCATATAAGAGACACTTATATCATATTAGAGACACTGTGATGGACTGGTGTGTATCCGTGGTGTTTCTTCCTATACTACACAATACATTTTAGCAGCTGCAACTGAGATTGCAACTTTACACAAAAGATTCCATAAAAATTCAAAATACTGTTTTTTTTTCTAAGTTTAAAAAACGATAATCTGAAGATCCTGTGATGAAACCTTTTTAATCTGCAAAGAACCATGTAGTTAAGAACCCTATACAGCCAGGAGTTATTGATAAGACCCTAAGAACCATTTACTGAGCTGAAGAACTGAAGAGTTTTAGAAAACTAATTTTGAAGAGTGTATTTGTTTCATTGATCTTTGTAGATGCATTGCTCAGAGGATCTGGGGCAGGAATTATAACTTCCTCCACAACATGACAGGTGAGAACAGACCCGTTTGGTAACTGGAAATTCATTGTGAATAATAAATCGACTCACTTCAAGCTATGGTTGAGTAGATGAATCAGTGCCAGCCGCTCTTTTGCAAAAAGAGACGAGAGATTTAATAGACGCCGGACTGTTGATCAACTCACCCTACTTCTCAGTGCTGAGAAAAGAACGAAACATTGACCTCATCATTGCTCTGGATTACAGCGATGGAGATCCTTTCACGGTATATGCTTATTTAATTCAATATAATGCACACATTGTCTCAAAAAAGTTAATTTAAAAGAATACATCCCCTAGAAATGTAAATTCCATCACCATTTACTCACCCTCATGTTGTTCTGATCCCATATATAAACTCTTCTTTCTTCTGTGGAACACAAATGGAATTTTTTTAAATAATGATGACATTCATAGTTGCCACCATAACCTAAAATATACAGAACTTCAAAAACACTGACAGATAATTACAAATGCTGTGCATCATCTGAAAAGATAAAAACAAGAAAGAAAAACATTTCAAAAGATTTTATTTTGAGTTCTGTAATATCTGGATAGAGCCTCCATCCATCAAGTTTCCCATTCATCTCAGTGGTGGTTTCTTGCCTGGTGCATGATGAAATATAGAGTAAAGGGGGAGATTTAAGTGAATACCGTCATTCTCAACAAAAATGTCTGTCTAAGCCTTTTAATTAAGTGCTACCGCTCTATTTTTCCATTGCAGACAGTGAGAGAAGCTGCTAAAACGTGCAAGAAACTAAAGATCCCTTTCCCTGAAGTCAACATTCCCAGTGATGAAGGGAAGAAACCAAAGGACTTCTATGTGTTCAAAGGCCAAAACGCTCCAACCGTGATTCACATCCCTCTGTTTAATGTGGTCAACTGTGGAGGCAAGTTAACATCTTCCAGTCATCCTGAATAATGCAGAAATGCTGAATAATGCTGCAGATTTCCAGATTCTCTGAAGATTCTTCAGATCATATTTAATGTCTGATAAACTGTTAACATGCATGTTACATTCTGACTAGGTGTGGTAATGAGAAAAAGCCTAAAATACCTTATAACCTGCATATATTCACCGGACACATCAGTTTTTGATATTGTAGTCATGGTTTGATTTGTACATTAAATGAATGCGTGCTCCCTTTATCTGTTGATTTGTTGAGTGACAGAGGCGCGTGCTCTTTCAGTGAAGTTCAAATTAGACTCGCTTTTGGGAAAGACAAAGAATTTTGTGTAATAGAAATATGCGGCTTGAATTCATGTTGAGGTGTGTTGAACGATTACTAAACAGTTTAATCTAAATAATTGCGTGCTCCATTGATCTTTTGCTTGTTTGATTGTGCGACATGGATGCGCGTGCTTGGTCCGGACCCTTAAAGTAAAGTTTACTTTTTCTGCGCCATTATTTAAAGCCCAAAAAAAGTATGTCTTAACCCATATCACACCATTTGCTAAGCCACATTATTAGGGGTTCAAGCACCTAAGGTGCCGGAAGTTCCCTGAACTCTATTGTACACTGTAAAAAATGACCGTGAATTTAGAAAGACTGTAAAAATGCTACAGTAAAAACCTGTTAAATGGTTAACGGTAAGTTCCCCTACTATATACGGTGAAAAACTGTATAGGACATTACATGTAATTTTACGGTAGTATACCGTTTTTGGAAGTGAAAAAGACCGTATAATTTACAGTGAATAACCGTAAATTGACATTCCCACAATTCCCTGCGTTACATTTCAAATTTGATGTTTTTTTTGTTGAAATAACTATGTTTCTTCTTATTTTTTTCTTATCAGTTTTGTATATTAGGGTTGTGTGTTACACCTAATGTTGTTAAATGAATGTTTATTGCATTATTTCAGTTTCATGTGTGTTACCATGATGGTGTTTAGTGTTTGTGTTTCTATATATGTTATTATTTAAAAGCTGCTTGTGATGGGCTTTGGTTCATCATGTGACTTTCTCATCACCACATGCATTTGGTGGTTATCAGTGTATTACAAAGGTACAAAACAGATTTCAGTACTTCAATAGGTTGGTATATTAACAGTATATCAGTTAATGAAATTACGGTATTTAACTGTAAATTAACCACAGCTGCCGGTTTTTTACCGTAAATTTTACGGAATTTTTTTTACAGTGCATACTTGAAATAGAATGTCAATTTTTATAGATTTAATCCATCCTTGCTAATTAAAAGTATTTATTTCCTTCCAAAAAAAAATCTATGACATAAGCCTATCTACAGTAGATGCGTTACAGTCCAACTTAATATGCTCACTGCGTATAGTATCTGCTCCTCGAATAGATCTGGCAGAGTCTTGTTGCTTTATTCACTTTAAACAGGCTCTGCTGTTTTGGGTAAGGAGCACAGCATGTCTCAGGGCCCACACAAACAGATGTTTACTCTGTAAAATCTCAAAGCCAATCCTGCGGGTTGTCAAGGCCAGATATATTTATGGACAAGGGCGGCACGCAATCTCAAAGCCTTTGTCCACAAGTGAAGAAAATATGGTTTCAGTTGGTGCTTTCTGGCACCTACCGAAAGTAATGATTGATTATAGGCAGAGAGAGCCCTCTGTACTAATTTCATCATTGCTGACAAAATAAACAAATAAAAGAAAAAAAGGCCACATAAAATGTTGTTTTCCAGTGTCTATCTTGTTGGGTTATTTTCTCTATTTCTTTATTTTGGGAGAGTGTCAGGGAAAATTAATGTAATTAACTCACCCTGAGGCAGAGTGTTGCACTTGAAGTTTGTCACCCTGAAATTCTGTTATCTTGGAATGAAGGAGAAAAACACAATCCCCCTCTCTGCTGTTATTTTTTCCCTCTCATATTGAATTTTTGCTCAGTGCTTGAATGTCTTGAAGAGGCTCCGATGTCGCTGTCAGAGCTTCTGCTCTCATTTGGGCTGGAGAAGGCGACGCGTGCGTCAGCTCGGCTGAAATCACCGCTAATACGTCTTAATGAGTAACGCTGACTGTCGCTCATGATTTGCAGTAAATATTTTCAGTGCTACTTCGTCCTTTGCTTAACGTCTCTCTGGCGGAAGGAATCAAACAAACCATAAGTATCATCGCCACATGAACCGAAGTTATTTTGGGTGTCCAGCGGAGAAGAGTTTCATCTGGAAATGCACTCTTGATGTTTGTCAAATGATCAGGAACTAGTCCTCCAAATCACATTGTAAAGCACAGACCTGTCCTGCAGCAACCTCTGATGTGACAAAACAAAGTGTTGAACACACCAGTGTTGTCTGTAAATATTGAAACTTCACAAAGCATATTTTACTTTGAAGGTCCCAGGCGCACAACTATATGACAAATGATTGCACACTGCATAATGTTGCTGTAGCACATTAGTGCAAATGGAGATGCAGACCTGGAATCAAACTCAGCAAACATCTCAAAGCCTTTTCTTTAGGATGGTATCAGTGGAGGAACCGCTGACTGTCTTCATTTTGTACATTCCTCAGAGAAGCGCCCTTTCTAAAAGGTTCTGCCAGTGGAGCGATATGAAGAACCCCAAATGTTGCCTCACGTGCCTTTAAATTTTTACATTTACAGCTTGTTTTTAAAACTTAAATACTCAGGACATGTTGAGCAAATGCCATCAATCAAACTTTTTCGTGATCGCCCTGGTAGTCTCCACTACAACATAACACTACAATAAAAAATATGTTCTCTTCAGATCGATGAACAAACACTCACAGATCAGCGGGACCTGCACAATGAAGACCCGTATCCCATTTACGCAGTGATCGACAAGCAATGCAAAAGGCGTGAGGAAGGAGGTCTGTGTTTTTGTCTGAAAGAGACTCTTAATGTGTTTGTGTCAGCTGTTGTATGGAGGTGTTTTCTGTCTGCAGACCCCTGGTTTGAGATCAGTCCACATGAAGCAGGTTATTCCCTCTCTGGAGCGTTTGTGGAAACCTGCAACTTTGGCAGCCAGTTTGACAACGGCTCAAAGAAAAAACACCAGCCTGAAATGGACATGCTGTACCTGCAAGGTAACAAACTCTGTTGCAGGACTGCTGTAGCATGCAGAGAGAGCGCAGCCAAAGAAGAGTAGGTTAATAGAGAAACAGACAAACATCCACAAAAACACAAACACAAGTCCAAGGGTGCAAACAGCTCCAAGTAAAATAATTATGACAGGGCATGAATGCAACACATACTTTATATCCACAGCGGCTAACAAGCTTAACAAGGTAACAAGCGGGCATGTTTAATTGTCTAGGGAACTCACAAGGGTAACTAACAGACACAGTAGGAACAGCGAGACACTTCAACAAAAGTCCAAACACCAACACACAGGGAATATATAACAACTGCTTTATTTATTATTCGTAATACCAACTTTCAGTGTATATTGTACGCTGTACATTGAACTGACCTAAATTAGATAATAGAACAAAACACATGAATATTCTCTGTGACATCTAGCTAATTGTCAAGTAAAAACTGAAATGTAGCCAAGGGAATGATTGGAAATGTTCAAAAATAATTTTTTCAACTTAAAACTTTATTTTGCATTGACATTGTAGAAACTCACTTAATTTGATTTCATTTCATTTATTTGTATAGCACAAATAAACACACCAGGAGCTGACCACTGTGCTTTACAGAGTATAAGATAAAGCGAGAGAGAGAAAGCAGGAACACATAATGAAATAAAAACATAATTACGATTTGTTAAATGCCTAGGCAAGAAGATAAAACGTTAACTTCGATTTAAACTCATGTACAGAGGACAGGGATCTCAGAGATAAGGGGAGGCTATTCCAGAGCACTGACAATCATTAAAACAGGAGTAATATGTTCACATTTGCGCACTCTATTTCATTATGACACACAGAAATGAATACTTCAGTACAGACACATCTCTGCCATGAGCTCTGTTCAGGAAGCTGAGGGACAAAATTAGTTTCATTTATTTGAAACGTTGTGTTTGTTTCATCTTGTGTTTTCTGCAGCTATGTGCAGCAGTGCTTTAGCTGATGGAGAGGCGACCTGGAAATGGATAAAAGGTACAACTTGAATTGTAAAACTTGAAGATTTAATTCTGCTTAAAAGTCATTTCGTTTTCATTTGATTTTGTTTTTCAGCTATTTCAGTACCTGAAATAAAATCGGTATTAGACAAAATGGAGCAAGGTATAGAATTTTATTATGTTTATTTATCGATTAGTTCCATGTATTCAAATATTTGTTGAGCTTTCATTTGTGGCCAAGCAGATGTTCAAGCCACATGCTGAAATATTAAGTGTCAGACTCATCTAAAAATACCGTAAAACCAAAATTTATAGATTTGTTAAATGCCTAGGCAAGAAGATAAAACGTTAACTTCGATTTAAACTCATGTACAGAGGACAGGGATCTCAGAGATAAGGGGAGGCTATTCCAGAGCACTGACAATCATTAAAACAGGAGTAATATGTTCACATTTGCGCACTCTATTTCATTATGACACACAGAAATGAATACTTCAGTACAGACACATCTCTGCCATGAGCTCTGTTCAGGAAGCTGAGGGACAAAATTAGTTTCATTTATTTGAAACGTTGTGTTTGTTTCATCTTGTGTTTTCTGCAGCTATGTGCAGCAGTGCTTTAGCTGATGGAGAGGCGACCTGGAAATGGATAAAAGGTACAACTTGAATTGTAAAACTTGAAGATTTAATTCTGCTTAAAAGTCATTTCGTTTTCATTTGATTTTGTTTTTCAGCTATTTCAGTACCTGAAATAAAATCGGTATTAGACAAAATGGAGCAAGGTATAGAATTTTATTATGTTTATTTATCGATTAGTTCCATGTATTCAAATATTTGTTGAGCTTTCATTTGTGGCCAAGCAGATGTTCAAGCCACATGCTGAAATATTAAGTGTCAGACTCATCTAAAAATACCGTAAAACCAAAATTTATTCAGACACCTTCAACATTTCTCACATTATCACAGTTTATTTGCTATAGTTTAGAAATGTGTAATAAAATATAGAGTGAAACTGTGTCAGAACAAATTCATCTTGATAATGTCAGATAAGTTGATAGAAAGGTATGTAACAAAACACGCTCAGGTCAAAGTGTGAAATCAAATTTTTGGTGCCACATTTTTTTATCAGGTAGTCCACTGTATGAAGAATGTTTTGGAATAATATGTCACAGTTTACTTTATTTTGCTATTCTCACTTACATAAATGAACTATAGTGTCCTGCACCCACTAGTAAAAAAAATATATAAAATATATAAAATTATATCTAGTGTCTGAATAATTTTTGGTTTGACTGTATGTATTAAAAAGGTCTCTTCAAAACTGTTAACATCCCATGGATAAACCTGTAGCACTTGCTAAAAATATATCACCAGCCCTGATGTGATATTGTTTTGTATGATTGCTTCTGGTTGTGGGGAAACACCTGCTATTCACTGTAAAAATGAAAAGATCAATCCGGAGGAAACGCCTCAAGAACCACTCAGGAGCCTGTCGGTGAAGGTCAGTGAGGAACTTGCAAGGTTTCTTGACAAACTCTTTCAAAAGGAATGAACAACTTGAATTATTTTATTCAATGCATTAATGCAATTCATGGAAGCACAAAAAAAATGCAATACATGTTACATAGAGTTAACTAAAAACCAGGTGGCTCAAATCTACTGTCGGTTATTAAACGTCTTTCCCCTATTACAATTCAATGTATATTGCAATCAATGTAAAGTAATAATAATAGTTCGTCATGCAATAGAAGACGAACAATGAAAAAGAAGAAGCAGTTGGTTGAAAATAAGGGGAGGTGTTAGATTTAACACCAAAACACCATGTCAAAATACTTGAAAAATGTCTGTAAGTACAGATTAAAAATGCTATTTTCCATCAACACGCATCTGTCACAGGTAGTGCTAAGCATGTTTGATGAAGAAGGAGAATCCACAAAGAATTTTAATATATCCACAAGAAGAAACACACAGGAATAAACTTATAAGCACAGGAATACATTTTAAAATTTAATTTATTTCTGTGATCAAAGCTGAATTTTCAGCATCATAACTCCAGACTTCAGTGTCACATGATCTTCAGAAATCATTCTAATATGCTGATTTGCTGCTCAAGAAGCTGTTTTGTAACATTATACACTATACCATTCAAAAGCTTGAAATGTTTTTTGAGCAGCAAAATCAGAATATTAGAATGATTTCTGAAGGATCATGTGACTGGAGTAATGATGCTAAAGATTCCGCTTTGAATTCACAGGAATAAATTAAATATTAAAATATATTCAAATAGAAATGTTATTTTAAATAGTAAAAATGTTTCAAAATGTTGCTGTTTTTGCTGTACTTTGGATCAAATAAATGTAGGCTTGGTGAGCAGAAGAGATTTCTTAAAAAAACATTACAAATCTTACTGTTCAAAAACTGTTGACTGGTAGTGTGTGTATATAAGCAAGACATTTTGCAGTGTGCTTATGTTTGTTTAATTTGTCAATGTATTTCCCTGTCCCCGTCGTCTATAGACGAATGTTACCAGGAGCTCTTGAACCCTGTGGATGCTGACCCTTCTGCCCTTGAGCAGTCCTCCAGAACAAAGCTGACCGGTAAACTTTTCCTAAAGTGTGCTAGAATTTATATAGAGAATATCTGGGGCTAGTTGTCACACTTACTGCAGTGAATATTTCTCAGGGGTGGTTCATTTTTGTTTTTAAGTTTATTTCTGACAGACAAAAGAAGTTATTCATCACATTTGTTCATCACTTCAAGGGTAGATAACATCTGAACTGATGCAATGAAAACAAGGCTGTGATGGAAATATGAGTTTCGATGAAATCGAGTTTTTTTGTTAGAGAAATAAATATTTGTACTATTTTATGTTCACAAAGGTAAACAATAGTAATATGTCCCCCTCTTTTTGCAGACCTTTTTGGAGGCCAAAGGCAGTTTGGCCAAACTGCTGATAAGCACAAAAAAACAGCCAGGTCAGGTCACCTTTATTTACAGTATATAGCACTTTATACAATACAGATTGTGTAAAAGCAGCTTTACAGTGTTAAACAGAAAAGGCTTGTAAATGTTGCAAACAAAATTAAATTCTGCTATAATAATAATATGTTTTATTTATATAGCACCTTTCAGCATCTTTAACACTAATGAAACGGCCTAGCTTGGCAATGCGACCTAATTGAAAGAATGCGGATTTGGTGACAGAGTTAATATGAGCTTGAAAAGAGAGAGATGAATCGAAAATAACACCTAGATTTTTAACATTACAAGATGATCTAATAGGAGTACCAGCTATCTCACAAGAAAAGTAATTAGGAATGCTGCTACTGAGTGACAGGGTTCCAACAATAATGATCTTGGTTTTAGCCATGCTTTGTTTTTAAAAATTAGAGGTTATCCAATCTTTTATTTCATGTACGCAAGCAGAAATGGTGTCAATTGGAGTGGATAGAGCAGGCCTAGAGATAGAGTAGAATGTCATCAGCATGTAAATGGTAATTAAAGCCATATCGGTACAAGATTTGATGCAGGGGGAGTATGTAAATAATGAATAATAGCGGGCCAAGGACAGATCCCTGGGGGACACCTTGCTTCAAATGGACAGTAGGGGATTGAAAATCCTGCACTGAGATGTAGAACTGTCTGTCAGAGAAGAAAACCAGGAAAGAACAGCACCAGAAACACCCACATCAGAGAAATAAGTAAATTATGGGAAACAGTATCAAAGGCAGAGCTAAGGTCAAGTAGCAGAAGTATAGAGAGAGAACCAGAGTCACCAGAGAGTAGTAAATCATTCAGTACCTTTACAAGTGCAGTTCAATGCTATGCAATGGACGAAAGCCAGATTGAAAGGCATCAAAGAGATTATTTTCAACTAGAAAAGACTGAAGCTGGGAGGCAACAGTACAGTATTTTCCAATAATTTAGCAATGAACGATAAATTTGAAATTGGACGATAATTAGATAAAACTGAGGGATTGAGGTTGAGTTTTTTGAGAACTGGGGTGAATGCAGCAGTTTTAAGTGGCACAGGGAATGATGAACAGAGGTAAGAGATGCATTGATGAAATGAGAAATAGGTGCAGAGATGACAGAGTGGCACAGTTTTAGAAGAGGAGTAGGTACAGGATCAAGACGACAGGTTGACGAATTAGCTTGCAAAATTAAATCAGAAACAGAAGAGGGATTGGCAGAGAAAAGTCCGACAGGAACTGACCAGAGAGATTGGGCCTAAAGCTAAACTTCGTAGCCTCATTAGAGAAACACTGGTGGAGGGCATCTGTCTTTTCCAATAAATACTTCATGAAGGAAAGCAAAATTGATCTGAAGTTAAACCATCATGAGATGGAGGTTTGGTAAGCTTATTTATTGTGTTAAATAATACTTTTGGCCTATTACATGATTTGTTGGTCATACAATGATTGGTCATACAATCTTTTACATTTTTAACACACTGTGTTAGCTTAGATAATTTAGAAGTTTCATCTGGTCTTGTTGAAATATAGATCCATCTACCTATCTCAGCGAGGCAGGGAAACATCATGGACTGATGGCCAGTCCATCACAGTCTCTAATATGACACTGTGATCATATAAGAGACACTTATATCATATTAGAGACACTGTGATGGACTGGTGTGTATCCGTGGTGTTTCTTCCTATACTACACAATACATTTTAGCAGCTGCAACTGAGATTGCAACTTTACACAAAAGATTCCATAAAAATTCAAAATACTGTTTTTTTTTCTAAGTTTAAAAAACGATAATCTGAAGATCCTGTGATGAAACCTTTTTAATCTGCAAAGAACCATGTAGTTAAGAACCCTATACAGCCAGGAGTTATTGATAAGACCCTAAGAACCATTTACTGAGCTGAAGAACTGAAGAGTTTTAGAAAACTAATTTTGAAGAGTGTATTTGTTTCATTGATCTTTGTAGATGCATTGCTCAGAGGATCTGGGGCAGGAATTATAACTTCCTCCACAACATGACAGGTGAGAACAGACCCGTTTGGTAACTGGAAATTCATTGTGAATAATAAATCGACTCACTTCAAGCTATGGTTGAGTAGATGAATCAGTGCCAGCCGCTCTTTTGCAAAAAGAGACGAGAGATTTAATAGACGCCGGACTGTTGATCAACTCACCCTACTTCTCAGTGCTGAGAAAAGAACGAAACATTGACCTCATCATTGCTCTGGATTACAGCGATGGAGATCCTTTCACGGTATATGCTTATTTAATTCAATATAATGCACACATTGTCTCAAAAAAGTTAATTTAAAAGAATACATCCCCTAGAAATGTAAATTCCATCACCATTTACTCACCCTCATGTTGTTCTGATCCCATATATAAACTCTTCTTTCTTCTGTGGAACACAAATGGAATTTTTTTAAATAATGATGACATTCATAGTTGCCACCATAACCTAAAATATACAGAACTTCAAAAACACTGACAGATAATTACAAATGCTGTGCATCATCTGAAAAGATAAAAACAAGAAAGAAAAACATTTCAAAAGATTTTATTTTGAGTTCTGTAATATCTGGATAGAGCCTCCATCCATCAAGTTTCCCATTCATCTCAGTGGTGGTTTCTTGCCTGGTGCATGATGAAATATAGAGTAAAGGGGGAGATTTAAGTGAATACCGTCATTCTCAACAAAAATGTCTGTCTAAGCCTTTTAATTAAGTGCTACCGCTCTATTTTTCCATTGCAGACAGTGAGAGAAGCTGCTAAAACGTGCAAGAAACTAAAGATCCCTTTCCCTGAAGTCAACATTCCCAGTGATGAAGGGAAGAAACCAAAGGACTTCTATGTGTTCAAAGGCCAAAACGCTCCAACCGTGATTCACATCCCTCTGTTTAATGTGGTCAACTGTGGAGGCAAGTTAACATCTTCCAGTCATCCTGAATAATGCAGAAATGCTGAATAATGCTGCAGATTTCCAGATTCTCTGAAGATTCTTCAGATCATATTTAATGTCTGATAAACTGTTAACATGCATGTTACATTCTGACTAGGTGTGGTAATGAGAAAAAGCCTAAAATACCTTATAACCTGCATATATTCACCGGACACATCAGTTTTTGATATTGTAGTCATGGTTTGATTTGTACATTAAATGAATGCGTGCTCCCTTTATCTGTTGATTTGTTGAGTGACAGAGGCGCGTGCTCTTTCAGTGAAGTTCAAATTAGACTCGCTTTTGGGAAAGACAAAGAATTTTGTGTAATAGAAATATGCGGCTTGAATTCATGTTGAGGTGTGTTGAACGATTACTAAACAGTTTAATCTAAATAATTGCGTGCTCCATTGATCTTTTGCTTGTTTGATTGTGCGACATGGATGCGCGTGCTTGGTCCGGACCCTTAAAGTAAAGTTTACTTTTTCTGCGCCATTATTTAAAGCCCAAAAAAAGTATGTCTTAACCCATATCACACCATTTGCTAAGCCACATTATTAGGGGTTCAAGCACCTAAGGTGCCGGAAGTTCCCTGAACTCTATTGTACACTGTAAAAAATGACCGTGAATTTAGAAAGACTGTAAAAATGCTACAGTAAAAACCTGTTAAATGGTTAACGGTAAGTTCCCCTACTATATACGGTGAAAAACTGTATAGGACATTACATGTAATTTTACGGTAGTATACCGTTTTTGGAAGTGAAAAAGACCGTATAATTTACAGTGAATAACCGTAAATTGACATTACCGTAATTTTTACGTAATTTTTTTTACCGTGCATTTGTACAGATTTTCTTATTATTATTCTTTGTCTGTCCTAAAAGTGTCTGGCCAGCCAAAACTGTAAATCCTAGAAACCAAATTTGGCAAGATGGTCCCAAATCTCCCCCACTACTTGGGCGCACACACACCCCGATTGGACCATATAGAACTATTATAACGAAATGCATTTAAATTAAACATGGCCTTTTGCACACCAGTTAAAATGAAAATTTGCCTCTTTTTATTGCAGTAGCCTACATATTGCTGCCTTCATGCCAACCAGCAAACATGCCATCCTTCATGACTTTCTCATGTCCTGGATGCTTATAGCAATTTATAAAATGTCAGCCATTTACATCCATGTAAATGAGAGATGATGGCCGTAAAACACAGAGAGAGACACAAGACAACAAATTATTTTAGATCGCATAGTTTAAAATCTGTGTAAATGGTTCAATAGATTAACTATGCACAGCATTCATTATAGCTTCATAAAGTTTAATAAAGACTAAAACCTAAACCTAATCATTTTCCAAAGAAATCTGTGATCTCCAAAATACCTTAATTTTTATATATGCTAAATTCAGAAAACATTTGTCAAGTTGTCAGACATGCTTGAGGTCCAGTTAAATGAAGAGACAATATTATTTGTCTATTGTAATATGGTACATAAAATAATACTTCCATAGAAAGACACTTAAATACTCTGTGTATTACTGTTCCATCAGGTAAGCCTGGTGATTGGAGGAAGAAATATGGCATCTTAAAAGGCCCTTACAGCGCTGAGATGATCACTGAAGTTATGGGGGTCGCTGGAAAAAACATCTCAAACAACATAGAGAAACTGCTGGAGCAGATTCGTGCAGTCGCTGAAGCTAAATGATTCCTGGCACAAATACGGCTATATTACAAGTCGTCAAGAAATTAAAATTCAGTCTGTTTTCTAAATGCATTTTGGTCTTATTGTAAATTATTCATGCTCTGGTGAAACGGTAGATTCTCTCTGGTGATGCGGGATGTGTGGCATTATAGTCATGTTTGGACTTTATTTCTGTTTATTATTAGCCTATGTTAAAATGTTTCTGCATTTTTCAGTCCGTTTCTTCATTGTTTGACCTTCATAAGCAATAAAGAGCCGATCATTAATAATCACATCAACCATAACACAGACTGGATTTCTGCTGATTAAAATATGTATTACTTTGCTTCTGTTCCAATGAATTAATAAACTGTTCTCTAAAAACAAGGCTTTGTCCTGGTCATTTAATACACAATACACCATGCGACTACTTGAGTAGTTGGTTCATTTTTTGGCCATTCGTAATCAGTAGGTTGAACTGTCCAATACTGTATGTGCTTGACTTTTGATTTTCTAGCCATAATCCATACAGTCAGAATTAAGGCTGGGCGAAATATTTAAAAAAATTATATCTCGATATTGTCAAAATTGTTACGATATTCGATATATATCTCGATATGTTTGCATTTGCTTTTAAATAATAAAAAAAACATGAATTTCTTTTGCCCCCATTAAAAAAAACAACAAAAACAATTTAGATAGAAGTTATTGTTACAAAGTAAATACAAAATGTTTAATGCAAATTTAAGCAGTTAAAAAAAATCTAGACCAAGTGATCACTTACCGCTTTTTATTAAATGAACACATGCATATGTAACTGAAGTAGCGCAAAACAAGTGCAGAAAGTGCATTCTGTCAACTTTTTTGGTGCATGCAATTCACAATTTACACTCTGCAACTGGGAGAAATAATTAAACTGGGATAAGCATTTTTTTTTAGAAGTTTGTAGCTAAGAACACAAGTCTGTCAACTGTCTCTGGTTTAAGAGAAGCTCTGTGGCATGTTCCCACTGGCACTAAAAACCCTCTCAGATGGGAAGCTAGTTGCTGGACACTTTCATTTAGATGCTAAACTCCAGCTTGTTTCGGGGATTTTAACTCTTGATATCTGGCACCCGCACTCATGAACGCTCGCGTAGTAGAGGCGTGTAGAGCAGTCTGGAATAACATGTCGTCTCCTTTTTTGGACGTTCTTCGCGTTCTTTTTGGAAAGCATGCTTGAATTTGAAATATTCGATATTTACCATATTTTCCAATTTTACATCGTCATAAAAATTATTGCGATATTATCGCCAATATTCGATATATCGCCCAGCCCTTGTCAGAATCAATAATGCTTTTACAGTCAGGGGAGCTCAATCCTTTTACTGGAGAATTACTTTCCTGCAAAGCCCAGCTCCAACACTGATCACATACAATAAAAAGTTGTTTTTTTCAGTCTCATTAGGCCTAAATCATCATGACATTTTCTGTCAAATGTGATCTGTGTGACAGTAGAAGAGGATGCAGTCTGCTATTAATACACAAATCAACACAACAGACAGGATTACAACAATTATTAACTAAAATATTGTATTACTGTTAAATATTACAATATTAATTTACTGTTCTTATCATTTTCATTATAAAACTGATAAGATTTGGTGCAGCATGCTGATTGGTCAATTCAAAGTTTGTTCCAGTATTATGTATAAACATATTTTATCACTTTTGGACAGAATATTTGAAATAGGGGGTGATTATTAATTTCACAATGATCAAGATGTTTTTTCTCTCTTTTAAGCAGTTAAATTCAGAGTTGGGGAAAGTTACTTTTAAAAGTAATGCATTACAATATTGCGGATTACGTAACTCGCGTTACTTGTAATGCGTTACCCCCAACACTGGTTAAATTGCCATTTAGAAATGTCTGACACTAAAAAGTATTGTGTTAAGAGTTTAGAAATGTCAACGACAAATCCAAAGCAAACATAACCTTTAAGAGGTTCCTATTATGCTTTTTCAACTTTAGTGTGTGATGTTGCTGTTTGAGCATAAAGATCTGCAAGGTTACAAAGCTCAAATTCCACTAGGGTGCGTTCACACTCGTAGTTCGGTTCTCTTGGTTCTTTTGGTCCACACCAAAAAAATTAAGCTATACATTTGGTCCCGGTCCGCTTAGCGCTCACACTGGCATTTTTGACAGCGAACCTAAAGATACTGAACCTAAAGGCATAGTCATATTTGGACACCCTGAGCCAGCGAACCAATCAGCTCACATTTTGTGGTTCAGGAGGGGCTGCATCAAAACGGGAATTAAACCGGCCGTTTGAGAGAGACTAGTAAGAGGCACTGCAATAATGTAAAATTAGTAAAAAAAATAAAATAAGTGTTTTTGGAAGTCAAGCTGCATGAATAGCTATTCTTGTACACCCAAAAAACTAAATCAAGACTTAGTAAAGGGCATAATAACCAGGGGTGCACATAAGTTGTTCAGCCTGGTTCTCATATGAGAACCTGCAGATTTGGTTTGGTCCTCACATTGCATATACCGTTACCCATTAAATATAACTATTAAAAAAATAAATTAAGACTGATAATATTGCATTTTTTTTTTTAAATAAAATAAACTAAAAGTGTGATAATACTACATTTTAAAATTATAGGGAAATATTAAATACAAATACAACTACTTTATAGTAAACTTAAAAATAAAATGTTAATTTACTACTTTTTAAAATTAATTTTCGAACTTAAAATCAGCAGGCTTTTATTTTGGCGGGTTGCCGGCAAAGTATATGCGCTTCCAGGTTTGGAGCTGCCGATCGAAGAACATCAGTGAATGAAATGTAACAGTTTTGCATTGTGCTTTTTGCCTAGATTTATGCTTTCAGTTTGAATATTAATCTTATACAGTAGTTTGACGATCTAAAATGGTGATTGTGCATTAACAGCTGTCAATCATGTCGCTATGCAAATGCGCCATCAGAACTTATTTACACAGCGCATTTTTTATTTTTATTTTTACTTATGTGCACCCCTGATAATAGGACCCCTTTAACATGTGAACTGCTTTGGATAAACGCATCAGCCAAATTTAAGTGATTTCTGTGGCCTGTTTGGTGAAACCATTTTAAACACCCCGATTGTACAGTAACGAATGACAAGAGCCACAACTGATGTTTCCAGATGTTTTATTGATGTTAATCTGACATGGATATTCGTTCAGCAGTTTAATCAAACAGGCCGAAGCCCATGTCCTCATCAGACTCCTCGGACTCCTCTTTGGGCGCCTCCTCTTTGGCCGCAGGAGCTGCAGATTTCACCTCCACAGCCGAAGCAGCAGGAGCTGCAACAGCGAAAGCGCTGGGATCAGCCAGGAAGGCCTTCACCTGCAGAGGAAAAAAAAGACACGCGTTTAGCGCCAGTGAAGGCAGAAAAATGTCCATTAAGGACCAAGCGTCCCCGTCTGTCGGGATGAACAGCCCTGACATGGAATAGTGCAGGATTGATCAACAGAACGCCACGGATCAGCCGTTTCGTAACCTAACCTGCAGCAGCAGCACTTCTGTGTGAGATCTGAGCTTTACCTTCTCAGCCAAGGGGAAGGAGTAGTCCGTTTCCACGGCGACAGCCAGGACCCTCTTGTATCCGTTGATGATGGAGTGAGGGATGGAGGCGAGCGTCGGGTAGCCGATCTGCAGACACACACTGGCGATGTTCCTCACACCCTGAACAGAAGAGATGGACAAGTTACACAGACGTCAGGGAATAAACAAACACTTTAAGGCCTGAAAGGGAGAATGACATTAAAACGTAAAACAAACAAAAAAAAAAAGGTAATTTTTTTTTAAACATTGATTTTTAATGAAATTATATTTAGTTAAACTATTTTCATATATTTTTTAAATATTCAAAACACTTCACTTTATATGAAAGGGGGGAAAACAATAGAAAGTTAAAATATAAAAAATAAAATTTAATAAAAGGTAAAAAATTCTCATGTATATTTTATTTAAAGTAGATTAAATTATGTAGTTATTTAAACAATATTATAAGTATATAATTTAGATTTGAGTAAGAGTAAATTTTAAATCTAATTAACAAATTACCCCGTTTTATTAAGATAAAAAGTGTTTAAAATGATAAATTAAACTAAAAAATGTATATCTATATTAAAATATAAATTAATTTAAATTGTATTTTTAATACAATTCTATATACAAATACATATTAATACAATTATGTTACTTATTTTAACTAACATTATATTTTAGTTTTAATTTTATATTTAAACATTTAAAAAAATTAATACGGTTAAAAAAATTATAATAAATATAAGTACAATTAAAAAGTAACTAAAACACACTGAAAAAAAAAAAAACAAGTGTCGAGACCAAGCGTCCCTGTGAGCCGTGGGATGCAAACACACAGGGATAGAAGGAAACAGGTTTATTTGTGCAGGGGGAACGACAAACCGGCACTGCCACAGCCGGTCTATAACTTATCCTGCATCTTCACACATACAACCATCATCTGGGGCCCCCAAAAATCTGATAATTAGCGTCTTGAGCAGTGATTTCTCTTTCAGATCAAATCCCAACACATGCACGAGTAGCATTAACTGAACTGACCTCCAGGAACCTCTTGTGCAGGGCGTCTTCAGTGATGTCCAGCACCTCGGGGCTGTAGACGCTGCCGTTATCATACACCTGCTGGATGATCAGCCCGTAAGAGAAGGGCGAGATGTTCAGCATGTTGAGCAGCGTGGCCTCGCTGGCGCCCACCTTGTCTCCATGTTTGATCAGCTGAACGTCGCTCTGTGGCCAGAACAGGACAGTTTAGTTCATTTGCAATATTTACAGGAGAAATCTAAAAGTGTCTGAGACCAAGCGTCCCTGTGAGCCGTGGGATGCAAAACACACAGGGATAGAAGGAAACAGGTTTATTTGTGCAGGGGGAACGATAAACCGGCACTGCCACAGCCGGTCTATAACTTATCCTGCATCTCTGGATTCATCAGCATTTGTAATGACCTTGAATATTTAAACTTGTTGAAAACATGTGTTAACAGGTCAACTTCATAAATTTTTTTGCGTAAAAAATTAATCTCAAGATTAAGATAAGATCACTTATTTGATCCGCCATTGACTGAAGGGAAAAAAAAAATTCCTTGACTAAATATTTTAAATAAAGAAAATATAGAATTTAAAAATATTTATTTAAATACACATTTTATAAAGAAATTAGACCAAACAATGTTGAGCTTCACTGCTAAACTGAATGAGGCACAACGGTTGTCTTAAAATATTGTGTTATTATGTAAAAAAATAAAAATAAAAAAATAAAATAAATACACACACTAAAATATTTAAAAATTTTCTTAAACAAAAAAGAACTCATACACTTAAAGGTATTTGTAATTTAAAAAAATAAAATAAAATCAAAATTTAATTTAAAATATTTAATCTTGTCTTAATCATTGGAAGCCAAAATTGTAACTGAGAACAGGATTTGATTGACAGCCCATTTCTGCGACTCACCAAGATTTCAATGGTTCCTCTGGAGATCTTGGTGGTGATTCCCAAAGCCTGGAAGAAGGAGGTCTTCTCAGGGCCGAGCCCGGTGTTCTGAGCCGGGACGATCACCTCACACGGGGCGATGGCACCGGCACGGGCAGCAGCGGGCACCTACCATCACAGACGACAATAACGGTCACATGAAGAGATGCATTAAAAAAAAAAATTCAATCAATCAAAATTAGATTTAAGACTTAAGATTAAATTTAAAAAAAAACATTTATTGATTAAAAAAAAAGATACTGGATCAAAATAAGCAAGATTTGTTATGACTTATGATTTACTATAAAGTTTCAGCAGGGACAAAAAAAAAGCATTTATTAAACAATCTTTAAACAGACTAAATATTCAATCAAACATTTTATAAAAGTCTAATAAAAAAAATATGTACACAAAAAAAAAAATAGACAATCAACACTTGGCAAAAACAACAACCTTATGCGGTTCTTGACTTTATTATGTCTGAGACCAAGCGTCCCTGCAAGTCGTGGGATACGGACAGACAGGGATAGTAGGAAACAGTTTGATTTCAGCAGGGGGAACGACCAACCAGCACCGCCACCGCTGGCCTGTAGATGTCCTGCTGTAGTTCATGTTATAAAGCAGAGAACTTACAATGATTTTCAGAAAGTAGTTGGACTTCCACGTGGTCCGGTCTTCCCTGGGCATCTTGGCAGTGCTTCCAAGGATCGGTGAACAGCCGGTTTAAAGACAAGGTTGAAAAATCTGAAGGTCACAGGTTGAAAACCATTTAGACATGAGACACGTCTTGCAGTGTATAAACTGTTGTGATAAAGATGGCATTAACACTTAGCCAAAATTTCAGTAAAATGTCATTTATGCCAAAATCAAAAACTATAGTTGGAAACATTTTACATGAAACAGTGCTCTGTCATCTACTGGCTTTAACTTCCTAATAAAATGTCTGAGACCAAGCGTCCCTGTAAGCCGTGGGATTCAGGCAGACAGGGATAGTAGGAACCAGTTTGATTTTAGCAGGGGGAACGACAAACCAGTACACAACAGGCCTGTAGTTAACCTGCTGTACCTGAATACGTGTAATGGTTTAATAACAATAAATAAAAAACATACTATATACACATTAATCGGATATAAAATATACAGCAAAATAACGATCTACAATGAGAAACTAATAAATCAGAAAGCCATTTTACGTCTCGTCTCACAAGGCGCACAGGCCTATGCTAAAAGGCTAATGCTAACTTCCTCCTCAAACGACTATTATTGTACACGTCGAGCGTTAATAATATCCGCTAATGATTCTTAATACATTTACGACTTATTAAGATTTCATATGGTCACAGCTATCGTTTAAAAGAAGGAAAGTCGCACAGGGCCGCATTACGCCTCACCTCGCGGTCGGGACGCGTGAAAGAAAGAGGCCGCTGCGGAAAGCGGCACAATATTAGTACCAGTGGAACATCCAATCAGAATCGAGCGGAGGAGGTGCATCTGTGCGCTGATTGGTCAATACCATGTCCCTCACTCTGCAGTTCATTTGTACAGTATATTCCAACACAGCGCCAAAATCATTGTGAATACATGTGTAAAATAATTTTAAACACCCTTGACAAAGTAATTTAGTGTTCAGTTTACATAGCCTAAATAATTACTTATGATAATAAAATAAGGAAAGAAAAGATAATTATCGAAATGAAGTTAAGTTTCTCATTTCTTCATTATTATTAATACGTTTTTGGTCCGTCTGTGAGAGACGCGCCACGAGGCGGTGACGTCATCAGCACGCGCCAGCAGCCCCGAGCCACGTGAGCGGATGATGTAAACAACCGCAGCGCTAGACTCCTCTGCTGTCCGTCTGTCTTTATGAGCGAGATCGGCCCTTCACTCTGCCGCGCGTCTCCCGCAGATCATGCCCCGCGACCCCGACCCTCCTCCGGCGAAGAGATTTAAGCCGGGCTCTCCCTTCTTCCGCCTGGATAAGAAGAAGCCGGGCATGCTGCTGCCCAGAGCCGGACACGCGGCCGTCGGCGTGGACACACAGCGCAAACAGCTGCCCATCTATCAGAGCAGAACACAGCTCATCAACCAGATCCGACAGCTGCACAATGCTGTGTTCATCGGTAAGACCGCACATACACAATAACACGTGTTATGATCCTAACTCAGTGGTTCCCAACCCAGGGGCCCGTTCCTCGTACGTCGCTAACTCAGTTAGCTGGATTTGATTGTTGACGATTTGGCTTCGAAGCTCATCCCATGTTGTCATAGCAACAGGTCCGTAAACTTAAACCTGCTCGGGAGCAGTTTATTTCATGTAAACAGGATTAGATTGCATATTTTTAAGTGGAACTGATACTTAAAATATATCCCAGCCACCGCTACTTTATTACAAGAGTAACCTACTGATCCAGGGACAATAATTTAAAGTAATAATAATGGAAAAATTAATTTGAAAATAATAGTATAATGCTGTGTAATCTATAATACTATAGACACAGCCAGTTTTATTCATTGAAAGATTTATTCGTGATAAAATAATAACTTTATAACTGTTTTAGAGTCTTACACACATGCTGTACAGTTAATCTGAGCCGTGCATTGATTTGAGAGCTGACAGATATTATGGGAGTGGCTTGATGGAGCGCAGGAGACTTTAATTAATGCTGTCACATAACAAACCTGCTTCAGAGATAAAATTACATGAATTGCTAATTACAACATTGAACTGAAAATGTAACTTTATAACTTTAATTTTAGAGTCTTACACACATGCTGTACAGTTAATCTGAGCCGTGCATTGATTTGAGAGCTGACAGATATTATGGGAGTGGCTTGATGGAGCGCAGGAGACTTTAATTAATGCTGTCACATAACAAACCTGCTTCAGAGATAAAATTACATGAATTGCTAATTACAACATTGAACTGAAAATGTAAAGCCTGTACAAATACTAGAAATCGTGAATATAAATAATTGGGAATCGTGTAAAAAATATAAAATAAAAACAGTGCACATTTCATCTATACATCTGCCCTTTACGGGGAACACGAGAATGCGCAGTAATCTTAGACAACTTAATCCAGATATTTTAATTAAATTCAGTTTAATTCAATACACTTTATTGTGCCCAATGGGGAATTTTGTCTTGGAACCTGGAGCCGGCTAGTGTTCTAATTAAAGAATAAAAATAATTTTAAAAAAGTTTTTGTTTACATAATATATGTGTGTGTACTGTGTATATTTATTATGTATATATCAGAATTTGGCGTAAAGAACATGAAAGCATGGATCCATCCTGCCTTGTCTCAACGGTTCAGGCTGGTGGTGGTGGTGTAATGGTGTGGGGGATATTTTCTTGGCACACTTTGGGCCCCTTCGTACCAATTGAGCATCGTTTAAACGCCACAGCCTACCTGAGTATTGTTGCTGACCGTGTCCATCCCTTTATGACGACCGTGTACCCATCTTCTGATGGCTACTTCCAGCAGGATAATGCACCATGTCACAAAGCTCAAATCATCTCAGACTGGTTTCTTGAACATGACAATGAGTTCACTTTACTCAGATGGCCTCCACAGTCACCAGATCTCAGTCCAATAGAGCACCTTTGGGATGTGGTGGAACGGGAGATTCGCATCATGGATGTGCAGCCGACAAATCTGCAGCAACTGCGTGATGCTATCATGTCATCATGGACCAAAATCTCTGAGGAATGTTTCCAACACCTTGTTGAATCTATGCCACGAAGAATTAAGGCAGTTCTGAAGGCAAAAGGGGGTCCAACCCGGTACTAGCAAGGTGTACCTAATAAAGTGGCCAGTGAGTGTATAAATACACACACATGCATGTGTATATATTTAAGAAATATATGTTGTTTATATATTAAATATTTATATATAATATAAATTATATGAATATAAATTTATGCATGTAAATATTTTCAATACTGTGTGTGTGTATTTATATATACATAATGAATATACACAGTACACTATGTAAACTAAAACTTTTATTTTGAATGCAGTTAATCGCGATTAATCGTTTGACAGCACTTAAAGGTTTAAATTAAACAGAAATGTACTTTAATAAACACGCTAACAATACAGTACTATAGTGTGTAGAAAAAAACTTGTAATAGCAACTAAATATTTTCCAAATGATATTTTATAATATTAATTTTTCACTGTATAAATTGGGTGTTTTACATAGAAATAAATAGCCGACCTTTTAGGATAGTTTTGGGATGGGGTCCCTTATATGAGGATGATCATAATTGGGGTCCGTTGAAGAGTTTAGTCTAAAATAACTTATAAAATTAAACTTAATTGATTGGTTGCCTAAAATAAACAAATAAAATGCCTAAATTAAATAAGAAATGGAGGATGATACATAATGTAGAAAAACTGTGTAAAAGTAATAATAAATAAATATTAAAAATAAGATTCAACTAAATAAATTCATAAATTAAAATAAACGAATAAAAATACTGACTTAAAATAATGCATCTAATAGTACAGTGCTATAATGAGTAGAAAAAAAGGTAATGTAAATATTACATTACACTAAATATTTTCCAAAATAATATTTAAACATATTTACAATATAAATGTGTAAATAGGAAAATAAGTAGCTGCCTGTACAATGTTAGGATGGAGTTCACAAAAAAAATATCATATTTAATTCATAAGGGCCTCCATATGATTTCTAGTATAGCTAGATAGGCTTCCTACACCCTAAACCTTAAAGGTTGACATATTTAGATTTTAATTAAGATTTAATTTAGTCAGTTTATGAGTCAAGTCACCTTTACTTATATAGCTCTTTAAACAATACAGATTGTGTCAAAGCAGCTTTACAGTATCAAATGGGAAAATAGTGTGTCAATAATGCAGAATGACAATAGTAAACACTCAATATTCAGTTAAAGGCAGTTCATCGTTGAATTCAGTGATGTCATCGTCCAGCTCAGTTCGGTTTAAATAGTGTCTGTGCAATCAAGACCACGATATCGCTGGATATTAACAGAATGACAGAGTGGAGAAACCAGGCTCAGTCGGGGGGCCAGTTCTCCTCTGAACAGATGAAACCGATTTAGTCAGTTTATGAGTCAAGTCACCTTTACTTATATAGCTCTTTTAACAATACAGATTGTGTCAAAGCAGCTTTACAGTATCAAATGGGAAAATAGTGTGTCAATAATGCAGAATGACAATAGTAAACACTCAATATTCAGTTAAAGGCAGTTCATCGTTGAATTCAGTGATGTCATCGTCCAGCTCAGTTCGGTTTAAATAGTGTCTGTGCAATCAAGACCACGATATCGCTGGATATTAACAGAATGACAGAGTGGAGAAACCAGGCTCAGTCGGGGGGCCAGTTCTCCTCTGAACAGATGAAACCAGCAGGTTGATCCATGCTGCAGCAAAGTCAGATTGTGCAGAGGACTCATCTGGTTCCTGTGATCTTGTCCCGACCAAGTTGTGTTTTTCAGTGTATTTGTGAGGATATTTGTCAGAAAGCACACTATAGTAGCACACAGGTGATGTTTTCCTGTTGCAGGTGAGACGGGCTCAGGTAAAACCACGCAGATACCGCAGTACCTGTATGAGGCCGGCATCGGCCGGCAGGGCATCATCGGCATCACTCAGCCGCGCCGCGTCGCCGCCATATCACTGGCAGCACGCGTGGCCGAAGAGAAGAAGGTCCAGCTGGGAAAACTGGTGTGTTTTCACGACAAATTCATCATCTGAATATGAATGTCAGTATGTGATGCATTACTCACACTCTGGTCTCAGGTGGGCTACACGGTGCGCTTTGAGGACGTCACGTCGTCGGAGACCAAGCTGAAGTTCATGACGGATGGGATGTTGCTGCGGGAGGCGATAGGCGATCCGTTATTACTGCGCTACACCGTGGTGATCCTGGACGAGGCTCACGAGCGCACCGTTCACACAGATGTGCTGTTCGGCGTGGTGAAGGCCGCTCAACGCAAGCGCACCGAACAGAACAAAATACCTCTGAAGGTACGAGAGAACCCGCTTTGTAAATATTGACACAAATGTTGTGTTTTTATTTATAAGGGCCTCAATATGACATTTTAGTACAGCTAGTTATGCTTCAAGAGAACCTGACCTATCCTTAAGATCAAACTAAGACATTTATTAGAAAAGTTGATAATTAGAAATTATTAGAATAAAGCAATAAGCCCCAAGAAACCGTGGTTTACAGTGATTTTATAACAGCTAAGGGGCGTTGTTCGCGGAGTGTCTAAAACCCCCTTAGCTGTTATAAATTCACTGTAAACCACGGCTTCACGGGGCTTATTGCTTTTATAAAACGGTTATTCCATATACGTAGTAAGTTTTCACAAAATAAAACAGAGCAAATAAAGTGTAATGATATTAATAAAAACAGTATTCTTCCACCAAACAATGTAGCTCCTCAGAAACAGTTGTGGTTGCAACAAAGTGGTTGCCGAGCAACAGACAGACGTAAACAAAGGTGTATGTTACTTTGTAGAGTAATTTACAACAGCTTCGAATGTGGCTCAGCCAATCAGAATCAAGCACCGGAACTCTCTGTTTTATAAAATAATTTTTCTTTTATTTTAGTTTTAGTTAAAGTTTTCGTAATTTTGTTTCGCATTTTGCCATTTTTATTAGTTTTTATTTATTTATTTGTTTTTAAATGTCCATATGGTTTGGTTTTTATACATTTTTATTTCAGTTTTGTTTGCTGTGAATTTTTCTGATTACTCCGACTAATTAAAATATATTGATTTTTATTTTAATATGTTCCATTGTCATTTTAATTTTAGTTTTTTTTTTTTATTACGTCTATATGGTTTTTAATCATTTTTATTTCAGTTAAATTTTTATTTATTTTAGTTCATCGAGTTAAATTAAATTAAAATAGAAATGTTGCATTGGCAATCTGTAGTTTTCTCTAATATTGTGAATTTTATTGAAAAAAATATATAGAATTTGTACTTTTTTGTTTTCATTTTAATTTTAGTTAGCATTTTTAGTAATTTGTTTTTTTTCCCCCTTTCAATATGTCTATATAGTTGCTCTTATTTCAGTTTTAGTTATTTTTTTCCAAGTTAAGCTAAAAAAAAAAGCAAAATGTTTTCTTGAATAAAATAAGCTGTAATAAAATAAGTTGGCGTTTTAATAAAAGTAAATGTTTTTAATACTAAATTACTGCAATTCATTCATTCTGAACTGCTTAACATACTGTACAGACTCCATGCAATATCCATGCCTTTGTGAAGTTTAAAGAAATGTAGGATTTAAATTTGAAAATCTTTTATAGAATGTTCAGCATTCAAAAATGTAACAGTGATGACATCACTATAATATTTGCATGCTGGACTCTGATTGGTCTGTAATTGTAGTCACCTTTACACTGCAGAGAGGCTGTAATGTTTACTGTGAGTGAATGCTGTTGGTCTGTAGGTTGTTGTGATGTCTGCCACCATGGATGTGGATCTGTTCTCTCAGTACTTCAACAAATCACCGGTTCTGTATCTGGAGGGCCGACAGCATCCCATTCAGATCTACTACACCAAACAGTCTCAGTCCGACTATCTGCAGGCAGCGCTCGTCTCCATATTTCAGATTCACCAGGTCCGTCACACACACACACACACACACACACACACATACACACACATACATGACTGATTCCAGTGTCATCGACATCTGATCACGTCTTTGACTTCTAATAAGTTGTAACGAGTTGCTCTGTGTCTTTTGGATTGATTGATGTGTGTCTTATCATATTTTCACTCTATTCCTTTTGCTCACAGTAGTTGTTGTTTTTTTAGCTTCAAATGGTTATTGAGTACAAGTCAATTCTGGATTTTTGGTTTTGTTTGAAGTGCAAGATTATTTTCTTTATTTTTTCTTATTTTATAAAAAAAAAAAACGTATTTTCCTAAAAAAAACACATCACCAATACTTTTTTTTCTTTATAAATGATGCTTATTGTAAAAAAAACAATACTTATTTTCTTTAAAAAAAAAATAAAAAAAAAAACTAATTTCTTAATTTAAAATCTTAATTTTCTTTAAAATCTATACATATTTTCTTAAAACATGCTTATTTTAAAAAACAAACAAACAAACAAACAGATAAAACAATAATTATTCTATTAAAAAACATATTTTCTTTAAAATCTAAAAAACGATTAAACATGACTTATTTTCTTAAAAAACGATTAAACATGACTTATTTTATTTAAAAAATAAATAATAATCTTTAAATATATTTTCTTATTTTATTTAAAATCATTTATTTTCCTAAAAAAACAAAAAACAATACTTAGTTTCTTTAAAATGCTATTTATGAAAATTATACTTATTTTCTTTAAAAAATATTACTTTCTTAAAAAATTATACTTTAAAAACATCTTATCATCTGTGAAAAATGACAAAGCAATACTTTTTAAATAATAATAATAATAATTTCTTTATAAAATGCTATTTTCTTATTTTCTTTAAAACAATACTTATGTTCTTTAAAAATTATACCTATTTAAAAAATACAACTATAGTTGTTTTCTTACAAAATAAGACTTTTCTTTACAAGTTAGCAATATTTTTTTAAAGATGATATTTTTTCTCTTAAAACATGATGCATATTTTCTTACAGGAAGCTCCAGCGTCGCATGATATCCTGGTGTTCATGACGGGTCAGGAGGAGATTGAAGCGCTGGCTCGCACCTGTCGGGACATTTCCAAACACCTGCCGGATTTCTTTAAACATGCTTATTTTAAAAAACAAACAAACAAACAGATAAAACAATAATTATTCTATTAAAAAACATATTTTCTTTAAAATCTAAAAAACGATTAAACATGACTTATTTTCTTAAAAAACGATTAAACATGACTTATTTTATTTAAAAAATAAATAATAATCTTTAAATATATTTTCTTATTTTATTTAAAATCATTTATTTTCCTAAAAAAACAAAAAACAATACTTAGTTTCTTTAAAATGCTATTTATGAAAATTATACTTATTTTCTTTAAAAAATATTACTTTCTTAAAAAATTATACTTTAAAAACATCTTATCATCTGTGAAAAATGACAAAGCAATACTTTTTAAATAATAATAATAATAATTTCTTTATAAAATGCTATTTTCTTATTTTCTTTAAAACAATACTTATGTTCTTTAAAAATTATACCTATTTAAAAAATACAACTATAGTTGTTTTCTTACAAAATAAGACTTTTCTTTACAAGTTAGCAATATTTTTTTAAAGATGATATTTTTTCTCTTAAAACATGATGCATATTTTCTTACAGGAAGCTCCAGCGTCGCATGATATCCTGGTGTTCATGACGGGTCAGGAGGAGATTGAAGCGCTGGCTCGCACCTGTCGGGACATTTCCAAACACCTGCCGGAGAGCTGCGGGCCGATGACGGTGGTGCCGCTCTACGCCTCGCTGCCGCCGGCTCAGCAGCTGCGGGTGTTTCAGCCCGCGCCCAAGGTCCCTGCAGCACCAGAGACACTGACACCACACGTTGAACCCGCGCTCTCTCTCACGCTGCTCTCTGTGCCTTACAGGGATCCAGGAAGGTGGTTCTCTCCACAAACATCGCGGAAACCTCCATCACCATCTCCGGCATCAAATACGTGATCGACACGGGGATGGTGAAAGCCAAGCGCTACAATCCAGGTCAGACTCTCAACCCTCTGAAGCTCACTCGGGTGTAGAATATTATAGAATCAGAATCTTGAAAACTCAGAATCTACAAAACGTTTAGAGTCTACAACTCTAAAAACAATTATGCCATGTGCAAAAACATATTTACAGATAAAACTACTAAAATAAATAAATAAAAATACCAGTGTGTATGTATGTATGTGTATATATATATATATATATATATATATATATTAGTGCTGTCAAACGATTAATCGCGATTAATTGCACGCATCCAAAAAAATATTTGTTGACATAATATATGTGTGTGTACTGTGTATATTTATTATGTATATATAAATGCACACACATGCATGTATATATT